CTCGGACTTACGACAGGCTCTTCGACCAGTATGCATACCTAAATATTATATATGAGAGCTGATTTCCTTTATTCTGTTTATTACAATATACAGTACAATACTGTATAAACATTTAAAAATATACCAGAAATGTTATGTGCAAAGGTGGCATGAAACCAATATCAAAGATGGTTGCCAAAAACCCACTACCTTTCTAATATGCTCCTCACTTAGGAACAAATTCGTTTACCAACGTAGTCTTGGGAGTGGAAATCTGTCGTTAAGTGAGGAGAGGCTTTATAATGTTTCGTGTGATGATTTTATTAATTTATAATAAATGAAGTAGGTGACAAATAGGCAAGATAATATAAGTGCACAGTACCTTCTTTTCTCCTACAAATTGTCATTTGTGTTGACTGCACTGTTAATGATACATAAAGTATTCATTAACCCTTTGACTGTCGCAAGCCCCTTTCTGAAACTGTCATTCTATGTCGAAAAATTTTTGGAAAAAAAAAAACAAAATTATTTTTCTTATGAAATGATAGAGAATCTTTTCCTGATGGTAATGACACCAAAAGTACAAAATTTGATCAAAAACTTGTGGAATTACGCTCCCGCAAAGTTAACAATCTCGGCGATATACATGCATCTGCAATTTCACTGACTTTGAGCCCTATTTTCGGCCAATTCCATTATTCCATTCGACTAAACTCATAGCTATTTCTTTAGAACTCCATTTTTTCTATTAATTGAGTATAAGAAACCGCCCATTTACCGATTTCAACTCCCCAAAAAAGTGGTCAGAAATTGGCAATTTGGCCAATTTCAAGCAAATTAAAAAGATGCCAATTTCAAAATAGGGTTCAGAATAAACAATGTAGACATTCTTGACACTAAAATAACACATCCTCTGTTCATTAGTCATGTCTCTAGGCCCCTCTTATATTACTCTTGTTTTCTCTTTTGAGTTTTTATTCACAGAAAAAATAGAAGATCTACTGTTCTGCAGACTACTGCATTATTGTAAAAATGATATAAATAATATCAGTGCACTAGTGAAAGAATATTACTCCCCAGTTGACATGGATGTGTGTTGTGATTTGCTTACTCTTGAACATTGGTAAAAATTGAACATTTCTGCTACTTAGAGCTCAATTTCAAGGTTGTTTTCATCGTGAAAGTAATCAAAATCATCTCTATTTATGTAATATGTTTTCCATTCTATCAAATGAGACCAAGAAAACGAGAATACAACAATAAATACTATACGAAAATACACCTGAAAGTCAGCGTTTTAATCCAAAATCACTGTCAAGTTTTTTTTCTTTCATTATGCACTGCGTGCTGCAGGATTTTTTTTTTTATATAGTGCACACTGACCACACAGACCCATTCTCTCACATGTGGGCCTACCAGCTTTCTCCTGCGTGATTTGAAGCCGCTAGAATTATTGAGTATAAACACGTCCGAAACACTGGCTCGTAAGACGTATAAATACGACCGAAACAGTCAAAGGGTTAAAATAAGCTTATCGAGTAGTATACTAATTTTTATGCTGTATTAGAAGTACAAAATAAAATTTGAGTTTCCTTCAGTTTTTCACTCATCGTAAAAAATTATCAGTATTCAAAACTTTTCGTGAGAGGTACTTTAACAAAAGAATTAAATAATTTGAAGTCCAGTAAACTTTTGTTATATCAAACTAATTGGGGAGGGATTGTTTGAATATCTGTTAATTTATATTAGCTTTTAAAAATAGCAATAAAATGCCCAGAAATACTATATTGTATACCTAATATAGTACTTTACACATAGTTTACAGATATAATGTAATAAACATTGAAAATAAATGAGTTAAAAATACAATTTATCCAGTGGATTTTGCCCATGGAGATCCATTATAATGGGATCAGTTACATCGTGGGATTACTGCATGTGAATTTTGAAGCGGGTGAATTTGGGAGGGTCAACTACTCTTACATAATGGAACACTCACAACCATTTCCTATATATATGTACTGTACATTAATAAGAAAGTCTTGAATATACAGTACAGTGGTCCCTCAATTATCGTCCTTAATCCGTTCCTGGAAGTGGGACTGTTATCGAAATAGACGATTTTCGAATCAATTTTCCCCATAAGAAATAATGTAAATACAATTACTCTGTTCCTGACACCCAGAAGTATTAAAAAAAATTTTTTTACATGAAATATAGATGTAGTGCATGAACAATACAATGGGACATGATGAATGAAACATTAACAGCATAACACTTACGTTTATTGGCGATTCTTCTTCATGTATGGTAGACTTGAGGAGGAGGAGAGAGATTGAATTACTGTTTGGAAGGGGAATCCCCTTCAATCAACACCTCAGATACCAAGTGCATTTCTGGGGTTACTTCTCTGTTTCTTAATGCCACTAGGACCAGCTTGAGAGTCACTGGAGTCCTGTCTCCTAAAAAAAACTGTCCAGAGAGCTCTGTTTCTGGCATCTCTTTAAAACTTCCCTAAAATGGGCCAAGACTCTGTCACTGTACAAGTTGCCGATATGGCTTGCAACATCCTTCTCAGGGTGATGTTTCTCCATAAATCTTTCCATCCTACCCCACATTTCAAAAATCTCCTTAATTTCTGAAGAAGGCACCTTCTTCCATTTCTCTTCCTCCTCCTCTGCAGCAAGATTCTGAGCTGCAATCTGTTGCTCTTCCTGCTGAAGCTCTTGCAGTTCCTCAGTGGTTAGCTCTTCGTTGTGGTCCTCCACCAACTCTTCCACATCCTCCAAACTCACATCCAACCCCATGGAACTCCCCAGTGCCACAATAGAGTTCACAACTGACATAGGCTCATCAGGGGCTGCCTCAAACCCTTCAAAATCCTTCCTGTGGACACAATCTGGCCACAAGTTTCTCCAAGCAGAGTTCAAAGTCCTGGTAGTCACTCCCTCCCAAGCCTTACCTATAAGGCTTCTGCAGTGGAGAATACTGAAGTGTTCTCTCCAAAAATCTCTTAGGGTCAAGCGAGTGTCTGAGGTCACATTAAAACACCTTTCAAACATTGCTTTGGTGTAGAGTTTTTTTAAAGTTTGAAATGACCTGCTGGTCCATGGGCTGGAGGAGAGGAGTGGTATTCGGGGGCAAGACGTTTACTGTGATGAGCCCAAACTCCTTCAGAATTAGGTCATCCAAGTTTGGAGGATGAGCAGGTGCATTGTCCTTTACTAGGAGGCACTTGAGATCCAATTTCTTTTCCAGGAGGTAATTCTTCACACCATGGCCAAGCACTTCATTGAACCACTTGATGAAAATTTCTCTCGTGACCCATGCCTTATTATTAGATCACCAAGACACACACAATTTACTCTTCATAACATTGTTTTTCTTGAACACTCTGGGATTTTCAGAATGGTACACTGGTAACGGCTTCACTTTGAAATCCCCACTAGCATTAGCACAGAACATTAGCGTCAGCCTGTCTTTCATAGGCTTGTGTCCTGGCAGTGCCTTTTCTTCTTGAGTAATGTAGGTCCTCTTTGGCATTTTCTTCCAAAAGAGGCCTGTTTCGTCACAATTGAACACTTGTTCAGATTTTAGTCCTTCAGCCTATATGTACTCCTTGAATTCCTGCACATATTTTTCAGCTGCTGTTTGGTTCGAACTGGCAGCCTCACCATGCCTCATCACACTGTGTATGCCAGTACGCTTCTTAAATCTCTCAAACCAGCCTTTGCTGGCCTTAAATTCACTCACATCACTACTTTTTTCAGGCAATTCCTTTACCAAATCGTCATGCAACTGTCTAGCCTTTTCACAAATAATCGACATCATAAGACTATCTCCTGCTAATTGTTTCTCATTTATTTTTATTATTATTATTATCACACTGGCCGATTCCCACCAAGGCAGGGTGGCCCGAAAAAGAAAAACTTTCACCATCATTCACTCCATCACTGCATTCTCATTTATCCACACCAATAATAACTTCTCAACATCTTCGAATATTGGTGATCTCATTTTTGTCAGCATATTTACCCCTTTTGCAACAACAGCTTCCTTGATTTCCTTTTTCTTGGCTATGATGGAAGATATGGTTGTACAGGATTTGTTATACATCCTGGCCAGTTCTCCCACATGTACACCACTTTGATATTATTCAATGATGTTTTTCTTAAATTCAATCGTATTTCTCACCTTCTTTACCAAAGGCTTGGCACTAGGAGCTTTCTTTGGAGCCATGGTAGCTTATTTAGCACATGCAAGCACTAAAATTAATGGAATGTTATGAAATATTTCATATGAACACGTGAGGGGACCGTTGCTCACTGGTAAACAATGGCACACTGGCTGGGAAGGGAGGCAAATGTGCTCAGAGCCGTGAGTACACATCCAGGACGAAAGATGATTAGCAAGTTAACGGACCATTTGCGAGCCAATGTTTAGACTAAATAACGGGACTATTTCCGAAATGGACGACTTTCAGGCCTGACGATTATTGAGGGACCACTGTATTTAATTTTTTATACAGTTCTCAATTTTTATTTTTATGGTTACATTAAACTGAGCATTTGTTGTATTGTACATATGCAATGAATTTGAAGTGATCTAGCCTTCATAATTTTTAATTAAAGTAAAAAAATCTTCAATTTAGGTTTCAGAAAAATCTGCCATTTTTATGAGTATGAGAGAAGGTTTTTTTTTTTTTAAATTTTGCATATTGAATGTTTTCTGAATATACTGCATTCTACTTTCACATTACAATATAATTAGTGCAATCATTGATAAAATATCTTGTATGAGTTGGTATATGTATAATGAATTATTATAAAGCTTTGCAAGTAGTTTAGGTATTTGCTCCTACATGCCGTATGAATCACAAGGCAAGCATGTAGTTAGACACATATGTGTAAACTGGTGTGAAAATCTGGCTAAGAGAAAAGGTTAAACACTGGTGTGAATAATGACTAAATATTTTCTGTAATTTTTTGTTCTTGTTATTAAGATTTTATTTTATTTTTCAGTTCTCTCTTCCCATGTGGGGACAACCTTGTTTGTATCATTGATGACCGCACAGATGTTTGGAATTATTCGCCTAATGTTGTTCAGGTTGTTCCATATCATTTCTTTCGACACACTGGAGACATTAATGCACCACAAGGCTTACAGAATAGAGAAAATGAAGATTGCAAAGGCATAGATTTTAAAAATTTGAAAAAAGAAAATGATAAAGATATTGGTAAGTTCTTAATTGAAATCCCAATAGTAAATTTGTTTCCCTTATTTTGTCCAAAGTGTTTAAATTTATATCACAGTAAGTTAGGTCATTTTATTTGGCTCAAAGTGTGTTGGAAAATAATTTTTTTTTTTTTTTCAACAGTTCTGAATGATTTTGAGCAGTTTTTTTGTCAGTTTATCTGTAACTCATAGAATCATTATTTTGAATGTCAACTGTACCCTGTCTTTTGTAGATTTTTTCTACTGCAGTACTACTACTACTACCTGTACATTATTATTTTTTTTTTAACACTTCAGCCCTCTCCCACCAAGGCAGGGTGGCAAAAAACAACAAAGAAAGACTTTCGCCATCATTAACACATAATGACTCTCTGCAGAGGCATTCAGATATGATCGTTTAGATGTCATTCCAAACAGCCAATATCCCAAACCCCCTCCTTTAACCCCTTCAGGGTCCAAGGCCAAAATCTGAAGTGGTGCCCCAGTGTCCGAGAATTTAAAAAAAAAAAAAAAATTTTTTTCTTATGAAATGGTAGAGAATCTGTTTGTGAAGGTAATGAAACAAAAAGTACGAAATTTGATGGAAAATTGACGAAATTATGCTCTCGCGAATCTTGATGTGTCAGCAATATTCACGAATCGGCGATTTTGCTGACTTTGACTCCTATTTTAGGCCAATTACATTATTCCAGTCGACCAAATTCTTAGCTATTTCACTAGTATTACTTCTATTCTATTGATTGAGCACAAGAAATCGCCAAGTCAACTGTTTCAACTACAAAATAGTGATCGGAAATTGGTAATTTGGCCAATTTAACACAAAGTTCAAAATACAGTGGACCCTCGCTTAACGATCGCCTCCCAATGCGACCAATTATGTAAGTGTATTTATGTAAGTGCATTTGTACGTGTATGTTTGGGGGTCTGAAATGGACTAATCTACTTCACAATATTCCTTATGGTAACAAATTCGGTCAGTACTGGCACCTGAACATACTTCTGGGATGAAAAAATATCATTAACCGGGGGTCCACTGTATTCCAATTTCAAAATAGGGCCCAGAATAAACAATGTAGGTATTCCTGGCACTAAACTAACATTTCCTCTGTTCATTAGTTACATTTTGAGGCTTTACAAATAAATTCCATTTTGATTTTTTATTCACATAATGAATTTTTATTCACACCAAAAAAATAGAAGATTTTCTGTTATGCAATATTGTAATAATTGCATAAATATCATCACCACATTTGTGAATGTATATTAGACCCACCAGCTGGCGTGTATTAGACGTGTGAGGTCGTTTGTTTACTCTTGAATATCAGCAAAAATTTAACATTTCCGCTACTTTGAGCTCAGTTTCAAGCCATTTCCAGTGCTAAAACCAATCAAAATCATCTCTATTTCTGTAATATGTCTTCCATTCTATCAAATGAGACCAAAAAATCGCAAATACAACTAAAAAAAATAGGAAAAAACACTGCGAAATCGCTGTTTTAATAAAAAGTCACGGTCTCAGTTTTTTTTCTCTCATTATACACAGTGTGCTGCAGGATTTGTTTTATGTGGTGCACACATACCACATAGATGTGTTCTCTCATATCTAGGCCCAAATTTACCACTCACAGTTTATCAGAGTGAGCTGAGCTCATGGCGTAGATCTACGGTTTGGACCCTGAAAGGGTTAACCCTCAAACGGTCCAAACGTATATATATACGTTCACTTGCGTAGCACCCCAACTTTTTTGAGAAAAAAAAATCTTTTTTTTTTTTAATAGGAAAAAAGAGCATGTGGTACCTAGGTGTCCCCAATTATTTTAATATGGCACACCGTGAGTGCGCACACCCATTCTCTCATGTCTAGGCGACTCAGGCTTTTTTATTATTATTATTATCACACTGGCCGATTCCCACCAAGGCAGGGTGGCCCGAAAAAGAAAAACTTTCACCATCATTCACTACATCACTGTCTTGCCAGAAGGGTGCTTTACACTACAGTTTTTAAACTGCAACATTAACACCCCTCCTTCAGGCTTATTGTGGCAATATTGAATGAATGACAAAGAAAACATATATATATGTTTGGAGCGCTACGCGAGAGAACGTATATATATATGTTTGGACCGTTTAGAGGTTAAAGTGCAGGCATTGTACTTTCTGCCTCCAGGACTCATTAAAGTGCAGGCATTGTACTTTCTGCCTCCAGGACTCAAGTCCAGATAATCAGTTTCTCTGAATCCCTTTGCAAAATATTACACTGCCCCCAAACCAACAGCTCATCAGGTCCCAAAAACCATTTGTCTCCATTCACTCCTATCTTACATACTCACATGTGCCTGCTGCATGACCATGCCCCTTGCACACAAAACCTCTTTTCATAGGAAAACCCCCTACCCCTCCTCCACTCCATTACATATTTATACACCCTCCAAGTCATCCTATTTTGCTCCATCCTCTCTAAGTGACAAAACCACCTCAACAACCATGCTTCACTGCTTTGAATAATACTTATAATAACTCCACACCACCACCTAATTTCCACACTATGAATTCTTGGCATAATATTTACACAACACATTGCCCTTAGTCATGACATCTCCACTGCCTCCAGCCTCCTCCTTGCCACAGCATTTACAACCCCTTCTTTGCCTCCATGGATAACATCTTTTTTGTTTGTCTCCACAGCTACCTCAATGCACCACTCGCCTTTTTTCCTTCGTCAATTCTATGGTGAACCTCATCCTTCATAGCCCATCTGCTGACAAGTCTACTCCCAAATATCTGAGCGTGTTAGATAGGAGTGAATGGAGACAGATGGTTTTTGGGACCTGACGAACTGTTGGAGTGTGAGCAGGGTAATATTTAGTGAAGGGATTCAGGGAAACTGGTTATTTTTATATAGCCGGACTTGAGTACTGGAAATGGGAAGTACAGTGCCTACACTTTAACCCTTTCAGGGTCCGTCCTGTAGATCTACGGCTTTACATTCAGGGTCCAAACCGTAGATCTACGCCATGAGCTCAGCTCACTCTGATAAACTGTGAGTGGTACATTTGGGCCTAGATATGAGAGAATACATCTATGTGGTATGTGTGCACCACATAAAATAAATCCTGCAGCACACTGTGTATAATGAGAGAAAAAAAACTGAGACCATGATTTTCGATTAAAACAGCGACTTTGCAGTGTTGGTTCGTATGTTTTTTATAGTTGTATTTGCGATTTCTTGGTCTCATTTGATAGAATGAAAGACATATTACAGAAATAGAGATGATTTTGATTGGTTTTAGCATTGGAAATGGCTTGAAACTGAGCTCAAAGTAGCGGAAATGTTAAATTTTTGCCAATCAAGAGTAAACAAACGACCTCACACGTCTAATACACACCAGCTGGTGGGTCTGATATACATTCACAAATGTGGTGATGATATTTATATAATTATTAAAATATTGCATAACAGTAAATCTTCTATTTTTTGGTGTGAATAAAAATTCATTATGTGAATAAAAAATTAAAATGGAATTTATTTGTAAAGCCTCAAAATGTAACTAATGAACAGAGGAAATGTTAGTTTAGTGCCAGGAATACCTACATCATTTATTCTGGACCCTATTTTGAAACTGGAATATTTTGAACTTTGTGTTAAATTGGCCAAATTACCAATTTCTGATCACTTTATTTTGTAGTTGAAACAGTTGACTTGGTGATTTCTTGTGCTCAATCGGTAGAATATAAGTAATACTAGTGAAATAGCTAAGAATTTGGTCATCTGGAATAATGTAATTGGCCTAAAATGGGAGTCAAAGTCGGCAAAATCGCCGATTCGTAAATATCTCTTGACACATCAAAATTCGCGAGAGCATAATTTCGTCAATTTTCCATCAAATTTCGTACTTTTTGTTTTATTACCTTCACAAAAAGATTCTCTACCATTTCAGAAGAAAAAATAACAAGTTTTTTTTTTTTTTTAATGAAAATTCTTGGACACTGGGGCACCACTTCAGATTTTGGCCTTGGACCCTGAAGGGGTTAAAGGAGGGGTTTGGTATATTGGCAGTGTGGAGGGATATGTTTTATATCTTTATATATGCTTCTAAACTGTTGTATCTAGGTGCCTCTGCAAAGACACTGATTATGTATGAGTGAGGTGAAAGTATTGGATGATGATGAAAGTATTTTCTTTTTGGGTCACCCTGCCTCAGTGGGAGACAGCTGACTTGTTGGGGAAAAGAAAAATTCATCTCATCTTCCCTCCAGTATGATAATCAATTTTTCTTTACCTAACTTAGTTGATACCCTCATCACCTTAATCTTATCAATGTTCACTTTCAACTTTCTTCATTTATGCACCCTCCCAAACTTGTCCACTAAGCTTTGCAACTTCTCTTTAGAATCTCTCAAAAGCACAGTATCATCAGCAGAGAGTAACTGTGTCAACTCCCATTTTGTATTTGATTCCCCATAATTTAATCCCATCCCTCTCCCTAAGACCCTAGCATTTATTTCTTTTACAACCCCATCTATAAACACAGTAGGGCCTCACTTATATGATGGGTTAGGTTCCAGGCTACTCCCATAAAGCAGAAATCACTGTAAAGTGGAATATCCTTTTTTTTCCACTTATGAATGAATATAATTGCCAGATAACAAGTCAACACTAATATATTTCAAGTTAACAGTAGAACTAGGCATTAAAAAAAAAAGTAAAATACACACTCAGTACACTCTTTAACATAGTCCTTCCTAATAGAGCTAAGTGGTATACATATGTTGATGATATTTTGTGTCTTATGCCTCAGAATGTAGATATAAACCATTTCCTTGTTAAATTAAATAGCTTAGTTCATTCTATAAATTTCACTGTTGAGTTCAAAGAAAATAACTCATTGCCTTTCCTAAATGTTTTAATTATTAACCCATTACTGTCCAAATGTAGATCTATGTTCTCTCACCCAGTGCTCCAAATATTTTGGAAAAAAAAAACAAAAAAATTTAAAATAG